GTCATTCATGTCAAGTTCTGTCAACTGCTGTAATGCACACAGTGAATCTGGTATCTTCTCCATTTTATTGTTATCTAGATTCAATATATTCATACTCTTCAATTTACTAATCTCATCTGGTATAGCAGTCAATGCATTATATTTCATGTCGAGTTCTGTCAACTGTTCTAATGTACACAATGAAGCTGGTATCTTCTCAATTTTATTGGATGATAGATTCAATGTCTTCATACTCTTCAATTTACCAATCTCATCTGGTACAGAAGTCAATGCATTGTCATTCATGTAAAGTTCTGTCAACTTTTCTAATGCACACAATGAATCTGGTATCTTGTCAATTTTATTAAAAGATAGATCCAATGTCTCCATACTCTTCAATTTACCAATCTCATCTGGTATAGAAGTCAATGCATTCGACCCCATGTTAAGTTCTGTCAACTTTTCTAATGCACACAATGAAGCTGGTATCTTCTCAATTTTATTGGATGATAGATTCAATGTCTTCATACTCTTCAATTTACCAATCTCATCTGGTACAGAAGTCAATGCATTCGACCTCATGTTAAGTTCTGTCAACTGTTCTAATGCATACAGTGATTCTGGTATCTTCGAAATCTTATTGAACGATAGATCTAATTTCTGTAATTCATGGCATTCCCCAATCTCAGATGGTACTATCGTTAGTTCACTATGTTTCAGGTTTAAAATCCTCAGGTCTTTATACAGACCAAGTCTTGATAAATCTATAGATTTATGTTTTTTGTGACTGAGATCCAATTCCATTTCCACACATGTAGCTGTATCTATCAAGACAATTGAAATGTTACACTGCTTCAGCAAATTAACAACACAATCATGCCCTAGTCAAATGGGGTCTAATAAGTCATCTCAAGTCATTATTCACTAATCAGTGTTTTGGATTCAGGTAATCTATTTTAAACAATCGTTAAGCACAATAATAATAGCTTAGGTTGAACTCATTCAGAAATATAATACATTATAAAAATAAAATGACTAGTTATTGATTATGACTATAAAATTCGTACTTTTTCGGTGACTTTTGATGATTTGTGAGCTAAATACCAGACATCCCAAAAGAAATAGTGTGTGAAAGGAAAGAATTTTGTGAAATTAGATGATAGCAAGTGATGTTGGTTTGGTACAAATAGTGTGACGACGTTTCCAAATTTCCATACAATTTATATAGAAAAAAAACT